CAGTCCTGGAGTCATGTATGTGTGATGGGGTGTCTGATAGGAGAGAGCTGTGGCCGTGACTCTGCTTACAATAAATGCCAGTTCATAACAATCAGAAGTCACATACAAGGTCTTTAACATCTGCTTACTAGCATACTCTGAGACTGTGCTGTCCAGCAGAAATAGAATGTGAACCATGTATGTAATTAAAAATATTCTAGTTGCCACATTTTAAAAAATGAGGCAATTGATGAAATTAATTTTAACGATGTATTTTGTCTAAAACATCACTGCAACATGAATTCTCTCTAAATATTATTAATGATGTATATTTTACATTCTTTTTTTCATATGAAGTCTCTGAAATCCAGTATTTTACACCTGTACAGCACATCTCAGTTTGGATGTGAAATTTTCACCAGATACTTGATCTTTATTTTCATCATTGAATATAATTTACCTTTGAAAAGTGAGATTCACATACCCCAATTGTTTCAAACATTGATTTCTAATAAGTAAATCCAGTAGCACTTTTTACATTTAAGTTTATATTAATTACAATTAAATAATGTTAAAAATTCCATTCCTCCATGGCACTAATTAGATTTCACATGCTCAGAGGTTTCCGGGCTGGATATCACAGCTCTGAGGTATTAGTTTTCTTTTGTGTCCTTTTAGTTGAACAGGCTGACTTTGTAAAATACTATTCCTTCTGTTACCACCATTTATTGTAGGCTCATTTTTGCTAAATACACGCATTGTATCATTTAGTTCTCACGGTCAATCTGGGAGATGACCACCAGCATCCCCATTTTGCACAAAAGAAGAATTAAGACCTAGAGAGTTTCAGTAACTTTAAGTAACTTGCCCAAGATACAAAGCAAAGAGCCAGCAGGGAGATTGCACTATTTCTTCATATGTGTGAGTAAACTGATTAAAAGGCTTTCCCCAAATCCTGTAAAGTGACCCAGGTTTCTGGACTTCTGGTCAAGTATTTGTTCCAGAGTTTTCAAAAGACGATGTGTTTTTCTTTAAAATATAAGATCCCACGTTCCTTTTTTTTTTTTTTCTCCTGGTGGATTATTTGTTGGGTTCCCAGGCCATCTGCTTTGGAACTAATGGGACTATCAGTGCCAAACCCGTGGAAATGACATTTCGTCCATGGGAAGAGTGTTCAGGACATTTAGGTGTGAAGTCCATAGGAAGATGGGAGATTCCTCCTCCTTGTCTACCAGAGACAGCTGTTCATGCTTTAAAATAGGTCATTGTAGGGTGTGTGTGTGTGTGTGTGTGTGTGTGTGTGTGTGTGTGTGTCTTTCTGTCTGTCTGTCTGTTCCTCTGTCTTTGTAGTGTACGTTCCTTAGTGCTCTTGATTTGCTATCTTAAGATAAAATTCTAGAGTCCTACTGTTACTTAAAACGTGTACTCCCACCACTTCTTGAAAAAACCTACTATCTGTAGACAGAAATACAGAATAAGAGAAGCCCCTTAAAACATGAGGTTTTAAGAAATTTATGTTTTCACTTTTAGGGAAGGCAGCTGAGTGGCTACTGTACTGGATAGCACAGCTGTACGGCTTTCGTTTTCTTTGTATATTTTTAGTTGAAAAGGCTGACTTTGTATAATGACGTTTGTATTATTGCTATTAACAGCTACCATTTATTGAGGGTTGGGAGCAGCAGACCTGCTTTTAACTGCAGACTTTAGTTTGATACCACATGCATGTAATTGCAAGTTAATCCCAGACACACACACTCATACTACCACTGTCATCAGGCCTTGGTTTATGTGCTTGGATATGCCATTTAAGGAAAATAAGGCTTCTGCTTTTATGGAGATTGCATCCCAGTAAGGAGGAACAGATAATTAAAGCAATCAGTATTTCAGATGTTCCGATAACGGGGCATTGGAGGCCTGCCTGTACCTGGGTCCACCAGGGGCTGTGCTGAGGCCTGCCGATCACAGGTCACCAGGGAGGTGCACTCCTTGGCTTTGCTGCCTTCGGCTTCGGTCCTCCCAGCCTCTCTGAGTGGCTCTGGGGAGTTGACTTTCTTCGGGGTCTGGGATGGGTTGCTGTGGACCAGGTGACAGACGGTACTGTAAGGTGCCACAGCCTGTGTGACCCTCTGCCTGGAGGCCTGGTTGAAATCCCTGGCATGGGCAGAGTGACCTTTGGCCTTTAGGGAAAGCCTGGTTGCCAGCCTGCTCCTCCTCAGTGACCCGGTTCTGTTTTGGGGTCAGGGGTGTAGTTTCCTGACGCTGATGGTGCTGGGGGAGACCTCTCACTGAGGCATGTTGGATGACTTTTCACAAAGTCCTCCCTCAGGCATCATCTCATTTTGTCCCGACAGTTAAAATAGACATAGCCCCACCTTCCCCCTTGATCTTGACTGGCCATGGATGGCTGGGTCATGAAGGCTGAGGTGCAGCTGGATTCTCGTCTATCAGGATGGTTATAACAATTTTTTAAAAAATCTTCTTGGGGGCTTAGTGAATGAAATGTCTTTATATGGGACAAAATGACAGTGACATTTCTAAAAGTTTTGTTGTTTCTCCTCAAGAGAGGCTGGATAGCAAACAGGTGAAGGTAGCGCAGTCCTCCAGGTGGGGTGGATGGTGAACGTTCCCACCAGGTAACCAAAGATGGTTGATAGCATCTCCCAGCCAAAGGTGAACAGGCAGACACCTCTTCTTTCTCCCCAGAGTAATTCTAACAAATGAGACCAGCACACTCAGTTAGCTCTGAGAACAGCACAGACCACAACTGCCTACCCAGCATGATGGATAAATGGTGCAGTGAGGGATGAATTTAGGCTGGGACATCTGGGTACCAGAGTCTATAGGGCCAGCTCTGCTGTCTCTGAGCCCAGTGCTATGTTCCCCTGATTTTCTGGAATCACTTAGGGACACACCCTCCTTCCAACCTGTACTGGCTGGTCCATTAGACCTTTTCCCTCTCTTTGGTCTAAGCTTGCTTCGGAAGTCGGCTTCTAAGCTTATGTAGTCATTTTTTTCCTTAGTCACATTGTCAGGGACTATCATTACCTGCAGGGGTCTTAGTGGTTCTAACTACTCCCTCTGAGGTTTCTTGGAAATTCAGCTTGTTTTCCAGAATGGTGGCAGTGCTAGGGATGACCAAGTGACAGGGTTGGCCCAGGGCTCTCCCCATGTTGAGGTTGGCACAGTGCGTGATGTGTTTCCAGCCAAAGTGCAAGAGGACTCATTTGGGAGATATCACGGTGGGCACCACGAGGAAGAGTGCTGGCAGGGCTGGGCTCAGATAAGGGTGGGCTGAGGAAGCATTTCAGCCAGCTGGGCTAGAGCATTTGGAGTTAAACCCTACGTTGGATGCTGTGTTGTGGTTAAGGTCAGCAGCTCAAGAGTCTGGATGTAGTTTGTAGATTCTATAGGAAAGGCACTGAGATTTGGGGGTATTTGTGGAAATAGTGGGTCCTATGCATTAGTGTTTCCAGGCTGGATTCACTCCCTTGAGGTCATTTTCTTGTTCATTTCTCTTGGACTGGCTTTGTTCTCAGGTGGCTCTAACACTCGGGCAGTCTCCTGTAGGGCCAGCCCATCCCATCTTAGCACTGTGCTCTCCCTCACTGACCTCTTGAGGGATTCCAGACACCACAGCCTTCGAGGCTGACATGGCCTCTTTCCAGAAGATGTGCAGCACTTAGCACATCCTGCATTACTTCCGCCTAAGTATTGACTACTGGCATTGTGAAATCAGCAGGGACATTCACATTTTCCTATGTTAAGTGGACAAAACTTTTTGGAAAAATGGCATTGCTATCAGTCCTTTCCTGGGAAATCAATAAAAATTGGAACTGGGGAAGGCTTTGGCAGGGGCCGCCCACATGTGATCCACTGGAGACAGGGGAGTAGAGGGGTTTGTGCTTCTTCTCAATCTTTGTTTCTCTCTGCCTGCACCCCAGTCCTTCACTGTAGTGTAGTTTGTGGGAAAGTTCTGAGTGTGCTCCGCGTACTCAGAAGAACCATTCCAATGTTGCATGCTTATAGTTTTCTTACATAAAAGAAACATTAATGCAAAGCATGTTTTAATGTATCATTAATGTTGTAAGTCTTAAAATATAAAATCCTGAAAACCAGCTAAGTCTATTTAAGGTTTTAGAGCACTGCTGTCTCCTCATGTGCTCTGCATTTAAAGGAAACAAGAATGGCTGGACTAGCGTCGAAACACAGAACTGGTGTTGTAAACAGGTAGTCCATGCTGGAGAGCGGATGATGCTCCAGTTAAGTTGGATTTCCCAACTGGAAGAGACAATTAGGAATTGCATTTCACCTTTAATCGTATTTGTGTCTGTTTCCCTATTGCTCTTTTATTTTCTGAACATCCTTCCTATGCTCCTATCGAAAGAACAAATGGAAATTGAAACCTGCTTTGCCTCTGATCCTTACACCATGGCATCCCTTAATTTTATAGCCACGGTTCCCGTAGCGGGGCCTCTGCCCTGGTTTCCATTTGCTGTTCCTCCTCAGTGAGGACTCTGTGTGCCTTAAATTGCCACATTCCAAGATTGGCATCTTCTACCCAGGAGAAGGAAACCATACTTTTTGACTCACCTTGGAATGGATGAAAAAAGCTGCCAATTCAAATAATTTGTGTTGTAGGAAGTATTTCTTTTAATGTAAATTAGTGAATTTATAGTTAGAGAAAATTCATTTAAAAACCCATGTGTGTTTGTGTCTGCATTTATATGCACACAATGGGATGTAAGTGTGTGTGTTTATATGTATCTTGTGTGTTTGCAAATTATTATCTATTTACCTGGGATACACACACAGATGCATGGAAGTGTGTTTATGTGTGAATTATTTACAATAACAGCAGACATGACGTTCTCACAGTCAAGTAATTGACCCCCCTCCAGATGTCAGTTTCACGTGTTGCACAATGTAAATGCAAACTGCTTGAAAGGGCAGACAAGCTTATAGCAAACATAGTTGTGTTTTGGTGGGTTTCACACTGACTGGCAACCCTGTGTCCTATGTAGACTGCAGAGAGATCCTGCTTCCCATGATGACCGATCAGCTCAAGTACCATCTGGAGAGACAGGAGGACCTGGAGGCCTGCTGTCAGCTGCTCAGCCACATCCTGGAGGTGCTGTACAGGAAGGACGTGGTGAGTGATGGCTCTGTGCATGACGTCCTGTCATTTGTCTGAACCTGCCATTTGCCTTGCAGTACAACTTTATTCATTTAAAAATGAATGGCCTTGATTTTAAGGTCTAGCCTCTCTTTTTGTCTCGGTAGAGTTGCACCCTTAAATTATTTTTATTTATGTATATATGATGATTATTACATTATAACATTTATCCTTCTGCATTGAAAATCATTTTTTATTTCCTGTGTCTTCTCAGCGAAATGCCTCTCAGGACCTAAATTTTCATCCTTAACGTCAGACAAAAAGGCTTTGATGCTTAAACTTGGCTAATTACCTGCATTCTTTCTTCTTATTTTTATTAAAGTAATACATGCACAAAGTCAAAAAAAAAAAAGCTCTTTTCCTCCCCTGAGGCTCTCTCCCCATAGGTCAGTGCTTTGCTTTTGTAGCTCTACCCTATTCCTTTTTTTTTTCCTTCTTTTGAGACAGAGTCTCAAACACTATCACCCAGGCTGGAGTGCAGTGGCGCGATCTCAGCTCACTGCAAGTTCCGCCTCCCGGGTTCAAGTGATTCTCCTGCCTCAGCCTCCCAAGTAGCTGGGATTACAGGCGCCTGCCACCAGGCCCGGCTAATTTTTTTGTATTTTTAGTAGAGATGGGGTTTCACTGTGTTGGCCAGGATGGTCTCAAACTCCTGACCTTGTGATCCACCCGCCTCGGCCTCCCATAGTGCTGGGATTACAGGTGTGAGCCACCGCACCCGGCCAACCCTATTCCTTTTGCATTTCTAAATCGTATGCTTCTTTCAGGGACTTTTTTAAAAATCGGAAGTTGGTGCTGGCCCAGGGCAGTAACTCATGCCTGTAACACCAGCGCTTTGCAGGGCCAAGTTGGGAGGATCGCTTGAGCCCAGGAGTTTAAGACCAGCCTGGGCAACATAGTGAGATTCCATCTCTAGAAAATGAAAGTAAAAATAAAAAGCAAGTTTGTGCCAGCACATATGGAAAAGTCTGACCCTGTGCCTTTCACTCCCAACATATGAGCACCCATGTGATGCTATTGATTTTCCAGGTGTGCCTGGAAAGGTGAAAGCAGGGCTTTGTCCGTCCTTGCCCTTAGCCCTGGACAGAGTAGCCAGGATTTTTAAGTAGATGAGGCTTGTCCCTGGCCCTTTCCTGCATGACCTTGGAAATCCCTCCTAGTCACCATGCCCACATACCTGGTCACCCTCTCCCCTGTAGCACTGGTTCATTCTCTCAGAGCCTGGTTGGTGATCTGGAAGAAAAAGATAGGATTAAATCTGTTCTTAGTGATGCTAGAAACCTTAGCTCTTACAGGAGCGTTGCCTTTGGAGAGGTTTTTTGGAAGCCTTCACCCAAAGGCTGGCCTCCAGTGATCCCATTTCTGGCTCTTTCCTGTTCTTATTGGAGAAAAGCTTGGTGTAAGAGCTTGTTTGGCCAAAGCTCGCAGAGGAGGTGGTGACGCTGGGAAGGGCCTAGAGCATGTGTTTAATCAGATTCAGAGTTCACAAAGAAGAATCAACAATCGCATCCCACACTAATAAAAGAGTCAATTTTTACTGATAGAAAATGCCACAGCAGTGTGAAGTTTAGATAGTTTGCTAAATGCTGTTTAAACATTCTAGCCTATGTGACTATTTAAGTTATTTGCATTTGACATGCAGAACCATCTAGGACTGTTATCTGCCTGCCTTCCATTTACAGATGGCCAAATATCTTTAGAAAACTAATTGGTGGGCTAATCAGGGATCATAAACATTATATTGTTTAAACAGATTTTCTTTTATTTTTAAGATTTGCTTAAATTAAATTACTATGATTATATATATAACAAATTATCATTAATGGACTATAATTAATAAAATCCCCTGAGTTTTCTTTGTGGGAGCTTTTGCCTTTGACAAGGGCCATTTTTCATCTCATTAAGGGTTATAATTGATTTACTCTTTACAGGGTAAGTGGATTCAATGGCAGCCACTGGGGCTTGCGTGTTAGTGTTTCTGTTTGGCGTTCATGTTCATTGGTGTGTCCTTCCCCAGGGGCCGACTCAGAGACACGTCCAGATTATCATGGAGAAACTTCTCCGGACCGTGAACCGAACCGTCATTTCCATGGGACGAGATTCCGAACTCATTGTAAGTGCTTGGTGACATACGCTTAGATATTTAACTGGGACTGACAGCAGCCTTCTCCAACTGCTGTTTGAACATAAGCCCATTATACACTGTAGTGAGCTGTCGAGATACAGCCTGGTATATAAAATGTCCTCATTTTCCAAATGAATGTCAAAGTTGAAGGGGAAGCAAACCAACTTTAAAGACAGAAACATTTGGCTCTTGTCTTCTAGCAAAAGATATGTATTTTCTGCTCAGTCCTCATTCTTCTGGCAGTTTCTCCATAGTGTTTACATTTAAGGTGCCATTAATAAAGTTTTATGAAGGACCCTAAAAAGTAATTGAGGTACTTCACCTTAGTTATTTTATTGTCTACTCCTGTATTGTAAGTGTTTCTCTTAAATAGTAATTAGGCAGGAGCCTATTCATTTTTTTTCCAGAATATTTTACTAATTAGGCAGTCCATCAAGTTTCTGATCACGGTGCCTTTTCCCAGGGTTCACTGCTGTCCTCCCCACCCCCTTACCTTAAGTTTGTTTCCTTCAGCAAAAAATGCATGAGTAGGTCTCATTTAAATTTTTTTTTTTTGAGGTTCAAGAGGTTATAATTTCTTCTTTCTTTTTTTTTAACTCTAAGTTCTGGGATACATGTGCAGAACATACAGGTTTGTTATGTAGGTATGTATATGCCATGGTGGTTTGCTGCACCTCTCAGCCCATCATCTAAGTTTTAAGGCCCGCATGCATTAGGTATTTGTCCTAATGCTCTCCCTCCATTTGCCCCCAACCCCCAACGGGCCCCTGTGTGTGTTGTTCGCCTCCCTGTGTGCATGTATTCTCACTGTTCAGCTCCCACTTATGAGTGAGAACTTGTGGTGTTTGGTTTTGTGGTCCTGTGTTAGTTTGCTGAGAATGATGGCTTCCAGCTTCATCCATGTCCCTGCAAAGGACATGAACTCATTCTTTTTTATGACTGCATAGTATTCTATGGTGTATATGTGCCACATTTTCTTTATTCAGACACATGTACACGTGTGTTTATTGCAGCACTATTTACAATAGCAAAGACTTGGAACCAACCCGAATGCCCATCAAAGATAGACTGGATAATGTTTAAAATATTTAGTACACATTATCATTTGACTCGCCTTGGTAGATCCTTTTCCAGAAAATAACTTGAAATGAAAGGAGAAAACGTCCTTTTGGAGTTTTCACTTGATATCAGAGGAGGTACCCTGGTCTTTCCTAGATGTGTCCTGCCCATCTGGGGTGTGAACAGGGAGGTGAAGTGAAGCATAGTCCGAACGGAGCACTGGGGTCCTTTGCGTTTCTATGTCTGGTGTCACCACAGAGGACTCCGTTTTGTGTGAGTCACAGACAGGTCCCTCAGATGGACAAATGCTGCCTTCGTGTGTTTCCATCCAGTAAAACAGTTCGTGTCTTAGGGCTTCAGCACGTGTGAGGTTCAGATTTTCCTTTTAAAAGTGTGCTCTTTTAAGTTGGGGTTACAACATGTATGACTCAGGAAATAAAATGTTTCCATGTAAATTGGCTTTATTTACAGTAGACGTTTCCATTATTACATAAACGTAAATTTGTCTGCCTTTTCCTATTCTCCATCATAATTATTCTTATTCATAGTCTTGAAACACATTTGGAACACATTAATATGGAATGGGCACTGAGCCCACGGAGAAGGATTTGCGGTGACTCCAGGAGCCACCTGTTGACCCCTGAGGTCCGGCGTTGACCCCTGAGGTCCGGCGTTGACCCCTGAGGTCCGGCGTTCCTGTCTTCTTGGGGTTGTGCTGCAGGCGCAGTCTGCACAGTCTCAGGAATGGAACTGGAAAGGGCGTTATGTAGAGCAAACAGTGTGTGGCTTGAACTTGAACCAAGTGTGGTTCTGCCAAGACCCTCTTGGGATGGGCGGACTTACAAAGGCTGGGGATGACATGATGGCATGCCGGGATGGTGGCAGGTGAGGGAGAGGGTGGAAGTGGAGGCAAGTGGTCTCATGAGACTGTTTTGTCTCTGTTTTGGGGAGCATGATTCTGCCTGTGCTTAGGGAAACATGGTACTGTCTCTGGTTAGTGAGTCATGGTCCTCTCTCCGATTAGGAGGTCCTGTCTCTGGTCAGAGGGGCACAGTCCAGTCTCTGGTTAGGGGTGTGGTCCTGTGTCTAGTTGGGGCACAATCCTGCCTCCAGTTAGGGTCTTTCTTTTCCCCCTCCCAAAATAAGAGTCTCACTCTGTCACGCAGGCTGGAGTACAGTGGTGCAATCTTGACGCACTGCAACCTCTGTCTCCTGGGTTCAAGTGATTCTTGTGCCTCAGACTCCCTAGTAGCTGGGATTACAGGTGCATGCCACCACACTCAGATAATTTTTGTATTTTTTAGTAGAGATGGGGTTTCACCATGTTAGCAAGGCTGGTCTTGAACTCCTGGCCTCAAGAGCTCCACTTGCCTCTGCCTCCCAAAGTGCTGGGATTGCAGGCATGAGCCACCATGCCCAGCCTTATTTAGGGTCTTTATGGTGGGTGTGTGTTCACTTGGCTTGTAGCCCATTGACCGACAGTTAAACTGGAGGGAAGAGGGCAGAGAAAAAGCTCATAAAGTTTCATGGGAAGCTGGGAATGTGGAGAGATTGTAAGATGTGCTCGCAGCTTCATCAAAGGGTAGAACAGACCCTGCAGGGAATGGTGTCTCCTCACAGACCATGTGGTCCAGGATGTCTTTGAGAAATTTCTCTTATCTCAGGCATGATGATAAGTGTGGTGGTAATAATGGCACTTCTTCACTGAGCATGCATTTACGTGCTAGGCACTATTTAATGAACAGGAAGATTCTCATTTAATTCTCACAGTGCCCTGCAGACAGATGAGAAACAGTTCAAGATCCCACAGCTAGCATGGCAGCACTTGTTTTGAGCCTGGATTTGGTTCCCGTGTATGCTGTCAGTCCCTTCTATAAGACACAGGCACATGATGCTGATGGCTATGGTCCACTTCAGAAGTCATCGAAAGGACTGAGCTGCTCCTAGATCCCTGTCCTGCCAAGGGAGACAGCTGTTCAGTGAAATAAGCACCTTTCTATTGTCTACCATGTTGTATCCATGGTCCAACTCTAGGATCTCCTTGCTGGAAGGGCCAGACCACAAGCTAGGTGCCCATTTCCTGAAGGGCTTGGGATGCTCCAGCTTGGAAGAACCCATGTATTCTAAGGAACCCTGAGGAGTTCCTCAGGAAGAAGCCTTGCATGTTCTAAGAAGGGGGTGTGACAGCGAGGACCCATGCTTGGTCTTATCCGGAGCCACATTGATATCAAGCATTTGGCATAGGGGTCTAAGCAGTGTCCAGGAATGGAAGAGTTAGAGTAAACTGCCCACCTCCAGAACCATCCTCCACAGCCCTGACCTTCCCAAACAGAAGCCTCAAAGTGGGAAGACGAGAGAGGTCTTAAACAGACTCCTCCCAATTCTACCATCTCTAAGATCTGTAAAGAAGTAAAAAAAAATCCTTGGAAGTTCTTTTGTAAAACGCAGCTGTCTTGGAAGGACTCTCAAAAAGATTCTGAATAAGCTATAATCATTTAATGAGTGATGACAACATCAAGATGTTTTCAAGAAGGGCCTTCGCCACTGAAAATTCGAGTTGTTTAGTGAGACCTTGTAATCTCCAGCCAGCCACGAGCCCCCCTCTCTGGAGTCAACAGAGCAGTGTGAGTGAAATGCTACCCTGTTTAGGATGCCTGCCCTTGCTCTTCCAATTTGCATCAAATGTGCATTAACTTTTTAAAGTCATTGTTGTTGCTCTGTGAATTTAGATTAGAGGACGATCAAGGCAAAAAGTATCCCTGACAAAGTGGACAAAAACCTTAATCAGTGGACCTTCTAGAGTGGAAAAAGAGCAGAAAATAGTACATAGATCTGTTTTGGGTAGGCTGTACCATTCCATTATATACCTTAGAGATTCCAGTCTTTATGTGTTACTCAGTTTTGCATAAATATAGTAGAAATTATATAACTATGAATCAGCTTAAAAATTCTAAGTAATGACTGAAAATGAGTTTTTTAAAATTAAAGTGATTAAAAAGAACTCTGAAATTGATATACTTTACTTAATGATTTACTGCATGATGTTGTCAACAACAGTACTAGAAATGTGGCCTCTTTCCATCGGAATAAGTTATTAATTGGGAATGTGATTATGCCCTGACAGCTTCCCCCTATTTATGTAAGGAATAGAAAACTGGGGAACTTCACACTTAATTAGGTAAGTTGGGATATGCAATATAAGGCTTTTATCTATATCTGTGGGATTTTACAAAAACTCGACTTTGCAGTCAGTTGTATATTGTTTGCTTTAGTTGATTATATTTGAAATGGGTGATTGGAATGCATCTCGTGCCTAGGATAATAATGTGCTATGATCCTAAGTATTACATCCTTAAGGAAAAACCGAAACAACTCCATTTGGCAGTTATGGAACGGTAGACCATGTGAATACTTAGCATATGCCCAGAGACAGAAGTGTTGCAATAGCCTTGCCACAGAACGAAAAGGTCATTTTATCTTTACTCTGATGTAGTCTGATGCGGTAGAAACATGGAGTGAAATACTTACTTTTATATTAAGTTAGACTTCAGGATTTATTTTAGCATTCCTTTTTGAGAGGCTTTCTAAGCCCTCAGCATTAAGCCGCATTTTTCCTCATCACGCACGGGTCTGAGCAGGTGACCACGGCTGGGATAGGTGCTCTTGTGTTTTGTGCAGGTGGGCTGGCCAGCCATTGGGTGTGTGCTTTTCCTAGAGTAAGAAGCACTCCAGGCTGAGATGAGAGCTGGTGAAATGAGTTACATTTCCGTCTCCTGTGATATGAGCTGCTGTTGCTTCTTTCAAATGATCAGATTTACATTCTGTTAATAGGTCCTTTAAAAATGTAATGGAGTGAGACGGACTTTTTTTTTTTTTTTTTTTTTGAGACGGACTTCTAAAGATTTTTCTGTGGCCTGGATACACACGAGGGGATTAGAAATTACTAATTCACTAAAATGAAAATGTGGGCTTCTTTTAAGGAAAAATTCCCTTTGAACATTGAGAGAAGTGGGCTTAGGGAAGGGGAAGATGTTGCCTGGATTTTCCACTTAACTCTTGTGACCACTGGAGCATCCTGACTCCCTAGACACAAGTGATGGAAGTTATTTTGTTTCCACTCTAAACACTCTCTCAGGGGGACATTGACGGGATGGTGGAGGGTGTGTTTCATTGTGACAACAGCATCTTGGGTGGGGAATTTGCTGTTGGTGAAAACCCGGTGCTTTCTCTAAGCCTGGGTGATTGATAAGGGTCTGACATGCTCCTTCATTTGGAAAATGGTATAATAGAATTGGTTTCCCAGTGAATAGTGCCTTTTTCCCAAGACTATAACCAAATATTTTCACAAAGATGTTATATCTCCATGCATGAGCATTCATTTTGAGATGTCCATTGTAATAGAGTTTAAGTATGAATGTGTTTTAAAAATGATTTTAAAATCATTTGCAAAAAAAAATGTGTTTCAAATAGACAGTGTCTGGCTTTTGTATATAATCATCATAAAAAATGTCTATAATTGTGCTGTTTGCTAATAAACCTGCCTGCTTTGAGAAAATCATCCTAAAATGTATGTGTGCAACAATGGTTTTATAAGTTCATTTTTCTTTGGGGCAGCTACAGCAATTTTAGGTTTCTTTTGATATTCCTGTGACCCTGGTATTTTTTCAAGGTTGGTTACCAGCTATGGGTTTACTGCAGAAGAAGTAAAAACCACATGATTGAATGGGCAAAATATGCTCTGCAGTCCTTACATATTCATACCAAACTGCAAAGGTATTTGCAAAACCAGACTGCCTTAAGTTAATTTTTGCACAACATAAAATGACCTTGTCATTAACCAGAATGTATAGGATCCACTGTAGCCTGATGACTTTATGCCAGTTCATGAAACGGATGTTCTTTCTGATCTTTGCACCACAGAGTTGTTTACTTTCAGTAAATAAAGTGGCTGCACATGCAGCGCATGCAAATATGCTAGTGGTGGAGTTTCTATAGATCAAAGACGACGTGCTGGTGTGGGAAGCAGCTGCTCTGATCTTTAGGTGACACTGCTCCAGCAAAACTGCCCTGATTCGTAATTACATCAGCTTTCACTTGCTAATAAAAATGCTCCCAAGGAATGGGTCCACCAGTGACAGGTTTTCTAAACAGGCCATGGTGTTACTAACATCATGACATAGAGAAGTTCATGCCTCTTTCTTGCTTCCTTTTCTTGCTGTCTTCTAGGAAAGGCCATGATTTGATGGTCTGTCTTCACAGTTTTAATTAACGGTTGTGTATCTTGGTTCTGATATGCCCGTGTGGTCTCCCAGGAAAACAGTGTTGCAAGTCATCCTCCTTGTGACTGTAGGTTGGAATTGGTCTGCCTGAGACTGGGCCATGACTGTGACACCATTTACACCCAATAGTCCAGCCACATCTCAGTTCTCTGTGGCTATAGATAAGTAACTGCCTCTCAGGGTACATGGGAAACGCTGCCAACTACCTAAGTTGTTTCCAAGGTAGCAAGGTTTTCCCATGCTTTGAGCCTCTCCCCATTTATCTTCTGCTGGCGGGTCAGAGATCGAAGGAGCAGATGCAGGACTACAGGATTTCTGCTTCTTGGAAGTGAGTTGCACACTTGTAGAGTGACTGGTGGGCACCTGAGTGGTGGGCACCCTTCATTGTATCTGGGTGTCTGTAGAACAGGACCTTTGAGGCAGCACCAATAGTTGGCTCAGAAATGATTATAGAATGGGACAGACCCCTCCCTCTGCCTGCTCTGGGCTGTGCATTGGGCCTTCCTTCCCTTTCTGCATGTGTCAGAAAAGGAACCCCCTTCTTCTCCCTGAAGAACATGCGATGGTAGCAGGAGCCTTGAGTCTCAGTCTACAATGCCTTCTCCCTTGCACATGGACTCCGTGGTTGCAGATACTGGGAAAAAGGGTCGTGGCCTCTCCTCTCCTAGGCCGTCCAGGTGAGGCAAGCGCCAGCCCACATGTGCAGATGGGTTAGTATTAGGCTAGTGTCAGCAGGAGAGGCAGGCGCTCAGCCTATCTCCCACTAGGGAGGGGAAGAAGAAAGGAAGAAGGCGCTGGTCCCTTGAGGCTGGGGATGTGCACGATGGAAGATCTAGAGAGGAGCTACCTTCCCTGGGCCATGGAGGCAAGATTTACATGCCACAGCTTACTCTGACAACACTCAATGTATTTCGCCGTCTCTTCTGAGGTTATTTAAAAATTAAACCTCAGACACCTCCTGCTGTGAGCCTGTGTGCATTCTAAAATGCCACCATGTCTTCTGGTGGCCAAACTCCATGCCAGGGTGCATGGGGGGGCATGGGTCAGTCCCTCCCCTTCCCAGGCCAGGCCAGCTCTGGCTGGTGGGTCAGGCCCAGCCTGTATGATGCTCTTGTCTTCTGCAGACCGATGAAATGCCTATCGGCCCAAACGTTCTTCCTTTATTATTCTTTTCTTAGATTACTTTTATGTTCCCCAATTTTTGAGGCCATGAAATAAGTTTAATAGCCACATAAAACATCTTTGATTTTTTTATTTAAAAATTAATAAAGAACTTAATGACAAGTATAATAATTTAATCTCTATATGCAATGCCATGTGTACATCTACATAAGGGAACCCTGTGCGTTTTACCTTGCTTTTGTATCAGAGTTTTTACTTGAATCTTTCCAAGAGAAGAATCACCATCTGTTAGTGACGAGTTGCAATTAAACTATGAAATGATTTTGACAATAGTTTTTTCCGTTTTAAACATACTTTAATTTTTAGGGAGGAATTAGTTTGTCTTCAGAAGTTCCTTTTTGACTCTGAACATTTTAATTTTTTTTTTCTTTTTAGTCTAGACTGGTGTGAAACAGTGACGTTATTTTGTGTACTAGGATGTCCTCTTGTTTAGACAGATTTGTATTACTGATTAGAAAACTGCTAATACCCTTATTTCAATTTACTGAGATAGTTGGGATTCTTAAAACATAAGGACAGAGAACTTGTTGGAAACATTTTTATAACTTTAGTTAAAAACAGTATAAAAAACATGAAACCCATTTTTAAATGTTTACATGAAACAATTACACTTCCTTCATGTTATAGGATCAACTTCCTCATTGTTCTTGCACAAAAATATTTCTGATTTCCTTTTACTGATATTCAGGGATTCGAACCTCATATAGTGTTTCCGCAAAAGATGTGTGTGTGCACGTGTGTGTTTTAAATTAAAGCATACAACTGCGGTATTGTTTGAGTGGCCCCCAAAGAATGTTTACACGATATACTCTTCATTTTTTTTCAAGGTCCGATCTGATTACTGATCACTAGGTCCTTGTAGAATCAAAACACTTAGAACTAAAACAGATTTGCTATTGAGTCAGGAGGAAAATACATGGCAAGAAGTAGCTCCAATCTGATAAAAGCAGGTGCGATCCTTTTACCAAGGTCAGCCACTGTGTGTTTGGCATCTAATCAATGAGGTGTGCATGTCAGCACTCTGCTAGATGTGAAACTGCTGGACTGAAACTTCAAGACTAGGTTTTCCTGTATGCTCACAAACTATTCAAAATTTAAGTTGTACCAAAAAAAGGCAAAGTAAGATCCCTACTTCCTATTGTGAAAATCAAAAAAATTGATAGACAAAGGCATTAATAGACTAGGGGATTTGATTTCTATAAAAAGATACTTGCAAGGTGCAAAGAAATGAGTGAAAAAATAAAGGAACTAAGATTTACATTGCAATGTGTAATCAAGAGAGAACTCTAAGTGTTACTGTTGATTTAAAAAATATCTAAAAACATTTGATTCACAGCTTTCCCCTAAGTATGTTGTTTAGTACAACTTACTAATAGGTTAAATGTAGGCGATGTTGTCCCTTGGTAGCAGCTAAACTAAACATACTATTTCTCTTTGAGATGGTCAGGTCTTCCACTGTTAATACAAAGCATAACGAATTGTATATCATGTCTGGCTGCACTTACCATGGCTAACAGTTTTCTCAGAGGATTGATCCACAAAAACACTGTCTGCCATGGCACAGAATGCCTGTGATTCATTGGTGGTTGGATTATCCATCTTGTATCTCTATGTGTGTTCTCAGATTCTTGCCAGAATGTATCAGTTGGCCTTTGGGTACCAAAAGATTAAAAATGAGATCTAAGAAAGCTTAGTGTCTGATAGCTCTGACCCTGTCTACTTGTAGCGATTAAAGGCATATCCTGACTTTGGGGGGACTCCTGGCTGCTGGCCATTTGGAAAATGAGCAGTAAACATGTCATAAGTCTGGAGATGAAGAGGATGCTAACTTTGAGGTGTCAATGTGACACTGAGATGTGGTCACTTGGCTTAGCGCTATAGCACATGAAGGCAAATATACATATAGTCACATTTTAGAGATTATTCATGGTCTCCGACCACTTGAAAAAATTGTGCTTTCTCCGGAATTTGATGTGCTGAAAATTGCACTCACCCCCTGCTTATTTGCAAAATGAAACATAAAAATGAAGTCCTTCGCAAACATAAGGCTTGCTTTTTCTTCTCATTATTAAAAAGAAAATCAAGGCTTGAAAATAATTATGAGTTATAGCTGTGTACAGGGTGACAACCTGCCATCTTGCAGGTTGATAATGTATTACTTGCAGATCGGGGGTGGGGGGAAAATTTTTACTTATCATCTTTGACTATGTAAGTTTCATTTCAGATTTCACATCCCACATCAGTGAACTGCAAAGAACAGCTGGCAAGGAGTGACACGGAATACCTTGATTCTGTTAATTATCTGTTGGTACAAAGGCCTTTTTGGTACGCAGGGCGAGAAGTGGGAGGTGCCTGAATGGGCACCACAGTTCCCTCGATCCCATTCATTTTGGAAAAGTGTTGACTTAAACTCCAGTGGGTTCTAAAGACGGCCTCGAGACTCCAGACACCATGAGTGTTAAAGGAACCAGAGTTTCCATCTTCCGTGCTTTTTAGATTCAGTTTTGGATTTTTGCTTGGGAGTTGAGGAGTAAGTCTCCTGAGAGTAAGGCGAAGGTATGACCTGAGTTTCCTCAATAGGGTGGAGTTTTCTCAGAACTGGCTGGAGTTTGTCTTCTTGCTGCTTAAAATCCAGCTCCACACTAGAAAAGAGAGAGAGTGAAGAATTTAGCATTTGATCTTTTCCATATGAAGATCCCTCTTAGTGACAGCAAAATTTGGGCATGGCCAGTGTTTGTTTATAATGTAATTTTATGGTTTAATAATAGCAAGTCGATACACTATGTTTCAGCTGTGTGCTGCCGTAAAGTATTTCAAGTAGGCTCACTTCCTTTGGAAAATAACTTACTTGCTTCTCTCGGTGAATCTTTAACATTGTGTTACCATGCACAGTTGGTGTATGTATTTGTGGAAATGAAAAATGTGAAATATGAATAACCCCATTGTTTGTCCACAGTCTGTTCACCTAGGCTTCATGGAGTAAAACAGAAAACCAAAAGTATGAGTGGGCGGGGGTCACCTTCGTATATCTATACCAAGTGCACGCAAGGTCTGTTCCTGTGCAGCGTGTCACAAGATCAGAGAAATAGATTTCTCTGATCCTCCCACCTAAAACAATTCTGAAAGGAAATGACCTTGGCTGACATTCTCCTTGGCAAAAGCTTATCTGTCTGAAAATCTCATAAGGGCCATAGTGCCCATCGCTGGGGAGAACAGTGTGTTCATGGAGTCAACACCATTGAACGGTACTCTGTCATTACTAACCACAGTTTATTTGGGAGAAGTGTGGGGTGTGTTCAGTAAAGACAACACAAAAGTAAAATCACATCACTCAAGTCACGGCGTGCAAGCACAGAGCCAATATGGAAGTACATTTGCCAGCAGTGATGTTTGTGTTAGAAGATGGTGTGAAAGATGATTTTTGAACTATGTTATTTCTTACAGCATTTCTCCGAAAATTGCTGTCAGCTTGTCTAGAGTCCTCTCTTTTCTCCATGTCTTTGCAAAGGACTACATTTGATCTTCTAACTTTGAGTCTTAACAGGTCCTCTTGGCAATTAGGATAGGACCCCCGGTCGCTGCATCGTTTTTCTGTGATGATCCCTGCATTGAGGAGCTTTGCTTCCCTCTCCGCTCGCCCTGTCCCTCCTTGGGACCTCTGTGGTCTGGGCCAGGCCTTGGGAGGATTCCGTTCTGTCCTCCTTCCATGTCTGGTCTGGATGCCAGACTAAATGTCAGTAGATTTCAGTAAAGGCTCAGCGTTGATGATAATGCATGAGCTCATAACATTTTATAACCAGTGGAACCATAAACCATTTATAAACATGAAATCCTATTGATTTAGAGAACCATTAATCCTAGACAAATTTTGACATTTGGGAAAGACAGAAACAGCCAAGCTATATTATCTGGAGTTTTAAAACAAGTTCAAGACCCATCTAATGGGCCATTTCACGTTTTAAATCCACTGTTCCATTTTTTCTCATTGTCAAAGACTCTAATATTACTCAAAAAATTTTAAAAAAAATTGTCAGAGAAGTTTTTGGCTAGTAACCTCCTGCTCCCAAAACAAGTTATCCTTTTCCCTTTTTTCAAAGAGCCTCTTTGAGTTATGCTCTAATTTATAGGAAGTAGAATAAAATCTCATGAATTGAAGTCTTGCTAATCCAGACTATGTGATGATGGAGGCGTAGTCCCTCTTAAGGACAATTGTGGAAAGTGTAATCTAAGGCTATACTGCATTAATGAAATTCGGGCCCCAGTTCTGTGATGTGGTGCATTAGAAGGACATAGGATTTCCGCCCTGCCTCTTCCACCTGATGCTGGTTTGGGAGTTGGGGGCTTGTTAAGCTTCAATTCATTCACTTCAAGGAGAGATAAGAGTTCCTTCCTTGGCTATTGTAATTGCTGAATTGTGGTAACAGTCTCTCCCCACCAAAGAATGCCCATGGACGAGCCTCCTAAACTGTAAGATGCAATTTAAATATTATTGTACCATTATTATCTGTTGATCACTAATCTTATAATGGAAACAAGAGCTAAGTAATAAAGGTATCTATTGGGGATCTCTTCAACTTGGACATTTAACAAGGAAAACAGGAGCCTGTCAATCGAACCTGTGAATATATGGTATGTTAGGTACAGGAGCGTAATTTTACCAAGTGCTTCGGTAATATCAAAGGTGTGTTCTCCAGATCGTAACCCTTTCGACAGCCCCAGGTTGGTTTTGGGTTATTAAAACGAGAGAAGGTGCTAGCATCTCCTAGGCTAACAATACAATTCTGGCTACCTGTAATTATTGAATTCTCATTAAGCAACTACATTGGGAATCCTGTTATTAACCAATTTATCACACCAAGGAACCATGTAATCACAGAATAATCTAATCTGAGTTCTTGTTAACAGAATGACTCGATTATCTGTCGAGTTGATTCCTGTTTGCACTCCCCATTACGCTGCCCTGGGAATCTGCCACCAGAGGCAGGTTCCTTGGTAGAGGGCACTTGTGAGTCTGTGAGGGCCCACTTGGAAACGCCCACAGTGGTGGCCAGCGAGTTGACCCTGAGGTCCGCCCCCCAGCCCATCTCCCCATCTGTCACATGTGAGTTGCAGTGGATTTGTGTGTGGGATGATGCCGGTGCACAGGTGTGCAGAGGTGTGAAGGAATAATGTGCGTTGTTCTGGACACTGCTTCCTGCTCAAAGACTTTTCTTGGGGAACCACACCAAGTCTCTAGGTTGAGTTTGACACACCGAGTCTCTGGGTTAAGTCTGAAGCAGAAACCTGACTGGAGGGGACAGCATCAGAAGGTTAACAGTCTGGCCAACTGGCTGGCATCGAACAAAAGTCCCTTTAGTCTTAACAGCTAAATGGATCAAAAGGCAGCAACACTTGCTCTTCTGGTCAGAGTAGTGGACTTGGAGAAAAGCTGCTGCTAGATGTTCCAGGGCACTGGGACTGCCCTGCACATAGACCTCCCTCTGTATTTGAGCCAGCGGCTTGTCCAGATGGTGCCTGGGGGCCTGCCTGGCGGAGGGCGCGTGACTCTTGCTTCAGCTTTCCCTTCCTGCTGCCTGGCAGACCGGTGGTAGGAGGGTTGGTTGCCCTACTTGGGGCCACATCTTTGTCCACTGCTGCCTGCTTCATGGTTATCACTTTCTCCCCACCTGAAATGCCTTTCTGGGCTCTTGGCATGGCTGGCACTCCTTGGCCCACTGTTTCTCAGGTCCACATAACCTCCTTGTTGTCTGACCACCTTCTGAAAGGTTGCCCAATCCATCCTTCCTTATTTGTTTTTGCACTAACCACATAATTATTTGTTCCCATATTACTTGCCTTCATCGTCCTAAATGCATCTTCTCGAATGCAGGCACCATAACCAGGGGATGCCATGCCGTCATCCTCTTTCTGTTCCCAGCAACTGCAGCAGGGGCTGGGTCCTGGCAGTTGCCTAAGTAATATTGCTAGAATTAATGAATGAGAACAGGGTCTTAAAAGGCAAATTCTGGCCAGGCACGGTGGCTCACGCCTGTAATCCTGGCACTTTGGGAGGCCGAGGGCGGCGGGTCACTTTGGATCAGGAGTTCGAGACCAGCCTGGCCGACATAGTGAAACCCCATCTCTACTAAAAATACAAAATTTAGCTGGATGTAATGGTGCATGTCTGGAATCCCAGCTACTCGGGAGGCAGAGGTTGCCTCCACACTGGGCAACAAAGTGAGACTCTGTCTTGAAGAAAAAAAAAAAAAAAAGGCAAATTCTACCTCACTTTTAGTCCCAGTTGCCCAGGACTGCTTTATTTTGGCCAAAAATTACGTTGCGTTCTCCCACAATGAGACACCTTCCTTGCCACAAACAAATAGAGCTCTGCCTGGAGGCAGCGTCAGGACCACTCCAGATGGAGTCTGTGGCCTGGTTCCATTCTGTCAGAACTTATCGAAGATCCTGAAACATTTTCTGCAAGACACACTCCAGGATCTTTTTGGAGCCTGGCTCCCATGCCACGGTCCCCTCCTTCCCGTCTTCTAGGATTCTACAGTAAGATCTTGGATAGGATGGGTGCGGCCAGCGGGGTCTGCTTGTGAGTGACCAGCTGCCACTGTCGCTGTGCGAAGGGGGAGCCTGAGTGTCACTTTATCCCCTTTTCACTTTTCTGTGGATAGAAGGTGGAGGTCTAGCCCGATGTTTTCTGGGCAATGTTTGTTCTGAGCACCATCATGGTCCCAGGCCTCCAGACATGCTATGTGGACCTGCTTTCCCAGGGCGGCTCCAGCGCAGGGGCTCATTCTGTAGCCACACAGGCACATGGGAAGCCTGGGCTCCAAACCTTGTTGTGGTTTCTCAGGACTCTGGCTGTGGCTTTGCACAGCCCCCCTGAAACCCCCCAGGCCTCTCTCCAGCAGCTCAGGAGGCCAGAAGCCGAGGGTGGTGCTGCTGCCTCCTGCTGGAGGGATCTGGTGTTGGTCATGCATGGGCGGGGGAGTGTCCCTGTCATGAGGAATTCTTACTCCTGGGGAGGAGCGGTAACCTGGAAAGAGTCCTGATTCTTGAGATTCAAAGCATGAGTCTGAAGCAGCTGGAGCCGGGCCAGCCTTACCTGTGCGGGGTGTTCTGTCCTACAAACACCTCGAACACAGGCTGCAGAGTTCGCTGGGTGAGAAGGGAAGATCCCCGGACGGCTGGGGATGTTGACAAGACACGAATCCCTGGGGACTGTAGGGATTTACCTTTGTAGCCCTCTCCCTGCCTGCACCTCCATTCTCCCTCCAGATAAGGGAATCATCCACCCAAACACTCGGTGCCCTGGGGCTGTGTCGCCCTCGCTGTGCTCTTGGCAACGCCCTGTGATGCATGATTAAAGCAACTGAGAGATTTAATTTCTTGGTTGGTCTTTCCCTTTTCAAAATGAAAGTTTTAAGTGTGGGAACTTTCTTACCACATGATTATTCTGTACATTTCCAAAGAAAGAAGAATCTGCCCTACATCTCAGGCTGCTCTTCAGCCTGCACCCAAGCTTTATTTTCTTCCCAGAGACTGTGCGAGGCTTTGTAGTAACACTTCTCCCCGCTGCCGCATGCGATTTTGCAGAGCGGCATCCTTCTTGCTTCTCCAGCTTATTCTCTGTTTGTCTCATGCTCCTATA